CAGACTACACAGCGCAACAACCCAGAAGACAGAAATCTTCATACTCATCGCCCTGATGACGGAGGCAGTATGACCTCTGAAACGTTGGTAAACATCGACCAGACTACACAGCGCAACAACCCAGAAGACAGAAATCTTCAATTTAAAACTACTATTTTAGATTAAACGTTGTGTGATGACAATGATTTAATTATCCGTTTTGCTTCTTACTTGGCCTCCTCCGTACAAATCTTTGGTACAAAAATATAGCCTAGAAGTTGTCATGTTAAGTTCTGGAACAGGCTATGGGGGAGGGGGTTATATCTGGGGGACTGCATTAGACTTCGCGTGTGGAGTGACGAAGAGAGAGGACTACAAAGGTAGCTCATTCACCTAACAGCTTTGCTCTGATGAGAGTGGGTCACGCTCTCAAATTCGCCTGTGGCATGTGTTGACAAGGAAAGATGGCTTTCTTATAGAGAAGTATTTCTTGAGCGTGACATTTTCATGAATCTTGCAACAGCAACAGACAGTTTGAAAAATAAAACAAAACAGAAGGTCGGCAGTGAGACAAAGTTTTGATTACGTAGTCTGTTACAAGTTTACCAACGTTTCAGAGGCCCGTGCTGCCTCCATCATCAGGGCGATGGTGGAGGCATATGGACCTCTGAAACGTAGATGCACATCTACCAGACTACACGGCGCAACAACCCAGAAGACAGCAATCTTAAGGCGACGTATTTTTCTTTGAGTCACACGAGACCAGCTTTTACTGAAGGCACATTGTAACACACGTTTATTACCGGATAATATTTGCGTGCCACAATAATTTTTTATCGAAATCAATTTCTCTATTCACCGATTCGTTCCATGTTTTGTTATTTCCACTTTCTAATGCCGGAACTTGCATGTTGTATGTAGCGTGTAGCCTCTATTCAAGAGAAAAATCGATTCCTTAAAGAATGGCTGTTGTACCCATTATCCTCTGACGACAGGTGAAAGAATGAACTTGTACTCAGTGCATGGTTTGTTGATTCTCCGGAAGTAACAGCAGCGTTTTGTTATGCCCTGCTTTTTATTAATTTAATGGTACTTTCTCAACTGCAGAAGTTGCTAAAGGAGGAGAATGGGGCGATCGGCAGATGTGAAAGGATACTGAGAGAGGATATTTCCATTCTGTCCTTGCTCTACGATGAACGTAACTATTCGTAATAACAGAGATTGTCGGTGTATGATAAATAACTGACGGACGACAATGGGTTTTCCTCCAGTTTGGGGGTTAGGCGGGGGCTAACCTTCCACGTAAAATCTAGTATACTACAGAATCTTACACATGGCCTGAGACTTCGATGGTTTGACCACCTGAGCAACTATTATTTTCTCAAGGAGGCATATGCTCCATGCAGTTCGTAGTTACAGGATGTGGGCAAGATTCATTTGGCTGAGATAGGGTCCAGTAGTGTGCTCGTGTTAACAAGGTTGCTGGACAACTATTAGCTTCTCAAGAAGGACTATGCTCCGTGTAGTCCGATGATGTGCAGTTTATTCAGTTTATGTTGTACTTTGCAGCAGTGGTAGCGCACAGCGCAAACGTTACAAAAATTAATTCCCTAAGAAAATTACTTAGGCGTACTAATAACACTGGTCAACAATGTTTCGGTAACATAGATGAAAATATGTGTTTCATATTGTATTTTTGCGCTAAATTCAAATATGACCTTGAAAATTTTCCATCACGTACCATTTTTGTGTTATTTTATCTTAACGTCTACCAAATGAGTGAATTTCTTGATTCCATAGGGATATTTTCTTTGCAGGTTGGCTACACTGGCAGTCTCCCATAACCTCAGTTTAAGTGTGAGTTTTGACGTTTAATCACATGCTATTGTAATGACATTAATGGCCTTATGAAAGAAATAGGAGTCATTTATGATCCAAAAGAATGGCGACTATTTATAGATTCGTCAAAGTTCAGCTTGAAGGCCGTGCTGTTACACAGTGGGAATGAAAAAGCTTCAGTTCTAGTAGCTCATTCTGTAGGCCTAAAAGAATCCTATGAAAATATTGAAAGAATCATCAAAAGTTGGAAGTACGAGGAACACAAGTGGCGGCTATGCCCTGATTTTAAAGTCATAGAGTTGTTACTCGGTCTCCAAGGGGATTCAATAAATACTGCTGTTTCCTCTGAATGTGGGACAGTAGAGCAACAGATAGGCGCTATGTTACGAAAAACTGGCCGGGAAGAAATGAATTAATTCCGGGAAAAAGTAAAGTCAAGTTCAAGCCTTTGGTTGACTCACAAAACCTTCTCTTACCACCACTTCATATTAAACTAGGACTTATCAAAAAGTTTGTTAAAGGAATGGATAAGGAAGGAGAAGGATTTAAATATCTGAGGGGAATTTTTCCGAATCTTAGTGATGACAAGTTGAAAGAAGGAATTTTTGTTCTGCCCTCAGATCAGAAAACTGTTGGATGATGGAAATTTTGAAGCCAGACTTTCTACTAAAGAACTCGCAGCGTGGAAATCTTTTGTATCTGTGGTGGAAGGTTTCCTTAAAAAGCGAAAGGAAGAAAACCACCAGCAGATTTGTAAATAAACCCATAAAAATAACATTAGTAGTAGGCTAAACTTTGTACTGTATACGGAAACGAGAAAAAGTAAAAGTTATCGTATCAAAAAATCTTACGTGTTAGGTGTTTTTCAAGGTCATATTTGAAATGAGCGTCCCAAAATTAGTAAAGGATACTGAAAATTGTCCATGTGAAAACGGTGGAAAATTGTAATAAGTAAGAGTAAAGCACTTTTTAAATCGCCATACAAATTGAATTTCCTTCAAACTTTACACACTCACAGTGGTTTGTTACTTTTCCTTCATTCCATTTACTTTATTGTTACACACAGACGACTCTGCGTGTGCAAATTATCTGTCCATTGTGCACCAAATATGACTCACGCGTTACAATGGGTTTTTCTACCTTAATACTACGTGAAGTGTTTCATGGGAATCTGGCCTCTAGGTGATAGGGCACCCAATTAATCATAGTCTATAGTTAGTATTTGCGAATGTGGGGCAGACAGCGCCTTGCACCATCAGGGGTCAACTGTGCTGCCTCGTTAACTAAGCGAATTTTACACGATTTTATCCGAATATGGCCACTTGCATATTAGGCCTAATTAAATCATGTAACTGCTTGGACTGTGGGGCACGAAATGTTAAAGATTATTTCTTATAAATATGTTGCCTAGACCACGGCCTTGTGTTGGGCAAGGCCGTGGTCTAGGCAACACGGAGTTTTCCTCCGTGGCATCCCAACAATTACTCCATTCACACACAGAAGAAGGCAATGGCAAACCACTTCTGGATCATCTGCCAAGAACGTATATGAACAGGTCCCAGTCCGAGAAGAGGATGGAAGGATCCTGTTCATATGGACCTGTCGTCAGACAGAACACTAAATAATAATAATATAATAAATATGTAATCCACAAACGCGTTTTATTCACGTCCTAGGCTCTTCAGTCGTGTGTCATTGTTATGAAATACTAGTGAAATATTAACTCAAATTTCAATCAAAACTCTTCGCTATGATAGAGTTTAGAATCTTGTTCACTGATGGACGAAATTTACTGAAAATCAAAGCGATCGCGCAAAAAATAAGGCAAGTTAAACTACTGTGCGATTATTTAGAGAAAGAAACTTATGCTAGCATTGTTGAATTAAGGCCTTCCTACCTTAGTTAATGTCTAGATAGTCTCTAAATAGTACAAAGTAAGTTATGAAAACGAGATATGAGTGTCGAACAGGGAGTTCACAACAATTATAAGACTCTGATTTGAGTCAATGTGCCATTAGAGTCTCGTGAAAGGATTTTAACTTTGATTAATGTGTCACTTAATTCACCAGGCAAATTTAAAAAATTTGGAAGGACACATGGTGGAAAAAATCTGAACAACTTCAGAACTAATAACCATATGTACGCGAGAGATAGCTTTGCCCTTAACCAACCTTTCTCGCTGCTTAGAACAATATGAATAGACCCACTGAATAAACAAAGACAATGCTGACGAAGAGTGTATTGTCATATAAGAAGACCTAAGTGTAGATTGAAGGATGAAATTAAAAGGAAACGTAACGAAATATACAATAAAAATGAGACATGGATTAACCTGACTTAAGTTATGGGCTCTTGTGATGGCAGTAATGAACCTTCTGGTTCCCATAACACAGTATTGGACCATCCCGTGGATACTTATCAACTGCTAAAGCGACGTTCTGTTCCATGGCGAAGGCGCGTCTAACTTTTAACACAGAACAGAGTGTGCTTCGTATTTTCGGAGCGGTCCTAGTGACTGATCAAGAAGAACAGTTTGACTGCATTAACTTATAGATTAGTAAACTGGGCTAGTGTTGACGCAGAACATGAGGACGTGTGTTTTCCTATCTTTTAAGTACATCGATCCCAACTGGGAGTCCCATGTCAAGCTGTAAAGCTGTGAAGGTGGAAGATGTACAACGGTTTACCACTGCATTGTGTTTTATGGATCCCAGCCAGGTTTCAGTGTTTCACTCTCAATTGCCGGTATGCTTATTTATAGTTAGTTTACATAAAGGTGAAAAAAGGAACATAGCGAAAATCATAAACTATTCGAAGCTTTTACGTAACTGCGAATAAACAAACATGAAAAGTTAAATGATGTTTATGTATTTGGGTCGTAACATTTAATTCCTTTATTTACACGAAACGTAAGTCGGAACCGAATTGTTCTGATGACTTATCTAACTAACTAACTAGATGGCTTACCGAACCCGGTTCATCACCGAATTAACCAAAGCCCACCACCGGACCCTGTCCAATCTCCTTCAACTCCTATCTTCCATAGATCCCGCCTGAGATTATCAACACTTTCAAAGGATTTATTAGCCACCCTAAGATAATTTTGCCCGCCTGTCTGCTGACGACGAGATACTAACATGTACTTAGTTTTTTCTGAATGTTAATGGTGAATAAGAATGAAATTAGATCGAAAGTCGAGACATTTTTAATGTACTATACAAACATTTCCCTAGGTAAAACGAGGAGGAAAGCTAAAGCATCGGCAGATCAACAACAACTGACCTTCGTCATACCCGTGACCTGAATACGAAGCAGGATTGCTTATGATGATAATATAAGGGTTGGTGGAGAGAGTCGCATTGACAGAATACTTGTCGGTAGTTGATCTGACGTCGAATTTTAATTGTTTGTAAACCACTACTCCTATTTTGTACTGATTAAATATCTTCATGCCTTTGTTTCTGTTTTATTATAGAGTTTGAGATGTCTTTAACACACATTTTAGTATTATCCTTTGTACGTACAGGTTTCACAAATGGTCGTCTGGTTTACAGACTGAAGTTCTGTATGCGTTTCTCGCCTTTCGTATTTGTTCTGTCCATATCACATTCCATGATTTCATCGCCCCAATAGTATTTATAGCCCATGAATGGTGTGCACATTGCAAAGCTGATCGTTAGTGAATGAGATTTTCTCATTCCATTGGTGACTTACTGTCTTACGTCCAAATATCTCCTTGTTATTTAGAAACCGTTAGGAACGCGAAGTTTTACTAGAGGCTAGTAGACAGGTGGGGCTAGAAGTAAATTCAGAAAAAACTAAGTACATGTTAGTATCTCGTCATCAGAAGACAGATGGGCAAAATTATCTTAGGGTAGCTAATAAGTCCTTTGAAAGGGTTACAAAGTTCAAATATCAGGGAAGAACAATAACAAATCAAAATGACACTCATGAGGAAGTTAGGAGGAGATTAAATTCTGGAAATGCATGCTACTTCTCAGTTCAAAATATTTTGTCTTCTCGTCTGATTTCTAAGAACCTGAAAACTAAAGTGTACAAAACAATAATCTTACCTGTTGTTTTGTATGGGTGCGAAACATGGTCTCTCACTCAGAGGGAGGAACACAGATTGCAGGTGTTGAGGAGGATATTTGGGCCTAAGAGGGAAGACGATGGGGCGTGGAGAAAATTGCATAATGATGAGCTTAAAAATCTGTACTGCTCCCCCAGTATTGTCAGGGTGATTAAGTCGAGAAGAATGAGATGGGCTGGGCATGTAGCGCCCATGGATGTGACAAGAGGTGTGCACCGGGTATTGGTTGGGAAGCCTAGGGGGAGACCGCTGGGGAGACCTAGACGTAGATGGGAGGATAATCTCAGGCGGGATCTATGGGAGATAGGAGTTGAAGGAGATTGGACAGGGTCCGGTGGTGGGCTTTGGTTAATTCGGTGATGAACCTTCGGATTCTGTAAGCCATCTAGTTAGTTAGTTAGTTAGTTACGAAGCCGGCACATTTTTCCTTCAGATCTCCTTTATTTAATCTTCATTTGCTTCTTTTCCATTCTCTAAAGTTGCAGGATGTCTTATAGATTGTCTAGCAGAATACCCTTAGTATCACCATTATCTGTGTCTTCTTCCGTGTTCGTATGTTCTGCGCGGTGATTTTAGTGAGGTTAAAGGCTGGTAAAGTTTAAACCTAATTTCACCTATATATGAATAAGAGATCTGAAGATGCATGTAGTTGTACCTCAATGTCTTTTGTGAATATGAAGCGACATTTTGTTAATACTGTTTTAAAGTAATTCGATATAAAAGTAACGCCTGTTGTGTCGTAACATTCCCTGCGCATTGCGTGACGTAAATCTCTTTTTAACTTAATAATCGCTATCACAACGAGATGAAGTTTTCTAGTGGCGTGCACCATGAAGGTAATGAATAAAGTCTTGTGCATGTTATTTTGCTCCGAGCTGTACCTGCCGGCAACACGTTTCAAGTAGAACGTAAGCAGTCAAATGTTGCACGCAAATTCTAACAGCTAAGTTTGTATTTAACTCACTTTAGCATGACAACACGTTAATCAAGCAGCATTGGCACAAGAAACAGAGACGAACTTCCTGTTGTTGCACTGGTGAATTTGGAAGCGTTGTTACAAACTTGCGAACAGTGTTTAAATTACTGAATCATCTTAAACATCTGAAATAAACCAAAGAGGAAATAAATAGGCCATACTGTCTCCATCACTGAGGCCAATCTTACCTGTTGTTTTGTATGGGTGCGAAACATGGTCTCTCACTCAGAGGGAGGAACACAGATTGCAGGTGTTGAGGAGGATATTTGGGCCTAAGAGGGAAGACGATGGGGCGTGGAGAAAATTGCATAATGATGAGCTTAAAAATCTGTACTGCTCCCCCAGTATTGTCAGGGTGATTAAGTCGAGAAGAATGAGATGGGCTGGGCATGTAGCGCCCATGGATGTGACAAGAGGTGTGCACCGGGTATTGGTTGGGAAGCCTAGGGGGAGACCGCTGGGGAGACCTAGACGTAGATGGGAGGATAATCTCAGGCGGGATCTATGGGAGATAGGAGTTGAAGGAGATTGGATTTTGTTAGCTTAGGACAGGGTCCGGTGGAGGGCGTTTGTTAATTCGGTGATGAACCTTCGGATTCTGTAAGCCATCTAGTTAGTTAGTTAGTTAGTTACGAAGCCGGCACATTTTTCCTTCAGATCTCCTTTATTTAATCTTCATTTGCTTCTTTTCCATTCTCTAAAGTTGCAGGATGTCTTATAGATTGTCTAGCAGAATACCCTTAGTATCACCATTATCTGTGTCTTCTTCCGTGTTCGTATGTTCTGCGCGGTGATTTTAGTGAGGTTAAAGGCTGGTAAAGTTTAAACCTAATTTCACCTATATATGAATAAGAGATCTGAAGATGCATGTAGTTGTACCTCAATGTCTTTTGTGAATATGAAGCGACATTTTGTTAATACTGTTTTAAAGTAATTCGATATGAAAGTAACGCCTGTTGTGTCGTAACATTCCCTGCGCATTGCGTGACGTAAATCTCTTTTTAACTTAATAATCGCTATCACAACGAGATGAAGTTTTCTAGTGGCGTGCACCATGAAGGTAATGAATAAAGTCTTGTGCATGTTATTTTGCTCCGAGCTGTACCTGCCGGCAACACGTTTCAAGTAGAACGTAAGCAGTCAAATGTTGCACGCAAATTCTAACAGCTAAGTTTGTATTTAACTCACTTTAGCATGACAACACGTTAATCAAGCAGCATTGGCACAAGAAACAGAGACGAACTTCCTGTTGTTGCACTGGTGAATTTGGAAGCGTTGTTACAAACTTGCGAACAGTGTTTAAATTACTGAATCATCTTAAACATCTGAAATAAACCAAAGAGGAAATAAATAGGCCATACTGTCTCCATCACTGAGGCCACTCATCGTCCTGAAGATGGAGGCAGTAAACACCTCCAAACAGTAGGTCGATTTCCACGAGACTAATGGGCCTAACATCCCATAAGACTATCTTCCTACTCGTGAGAACCTAAAATCTCGTCTTTTATCTTCAGATTGCAACAAAACTCCCATCTGCACAAGAATTGTGTGATATTAATAATTTATGTTGTGCGCAAATTAATTGATGGAACGTGAGTTACATTTAGAACGCTCAACAGCTGCGCGCATTCAGAAAATGAACAGGATATTTAATCAGCTGTGTATTCCTGTTCCCAAACTGTTTAATCAAGCCTTGTAAACATCCTCCACTCACCTGACAGTTGTATTATTAAAACGACGTTTCAGTAACCTTTATGTCGGGTGGGTTCTTAAGTTCCTATTGTTTCCGGGATGAACCTTTATTAAGATACAGTTTGAAGAACGTTTTATAGAGGAACCAATGCAAATATTCTATATTGTGGAAATTAAAATTACCAAAGAACACGGTCAATGAAAGGAAAATAACTGGAATGCGCTCATGTTTACGTCGAGCAAAGGATGAGGGAATGTTTTATCACTAAACGACTAGCAAACTGAGAAAATCCAAAGCCAGTCGCGATTATTAGCTAATCTGTCGGACAAAATAGATCGTCTGTAGAATTTTTTTTGCTGTGAGTATGATTAACAATAAAAAATATAAATTTCATTTTGCGCTCTTCTGATGCATAACCAGTATTCTATTTGTTTATTGATATAATAAAGGGGTTCTAGCACAAATTAAAACCATTAATAAATTAACGAAATTTTGTGAAAGCACATTTTCTGATAATATTGTCACCCGCTTCTGATGATAGCCTTCCACGTTCACTACTGCCAATAGCAAATGCTTTCGCGAAAAATTATGCGTCATTGGTAATTACGCAAGTCAATAGTTAAAAGAACAAAACAAAACACTGCCGTCACTGGTTTGGCATCTGTTATTTCTGCACTTGCACAACAGACCTTTCGCGTGGTGCCGCATTGCGTATCCCAAGCGCGGTGTGTGTACTCACAGACTAGCTCCGTGGTCGTACCGAAATGTGACCTACCCCCGGGTCAGTGGTAACAGCAGTTGTAATTCACTGGAGCATGTGCACTGTATTCTCGAAATTCATCCTTTGCGATTATGCATACCTCGTTAGTCCTGGTTTCCATTTATCACAGATACATTTTACAAGGAATCAGAAATTGTTTTCTTTGTAAGCTTACATTCACAATTTTGGAAAAGATTTTAAGAAGTTTCGACCTACATTTATCGAGATGTAGGTTTTATTATCGATATCCTATGACCAAAATATCTGTACATTTAGCCACATATAATATTGCTGTGGCTGAAGGAGTAGAAATTAAAATTTGTAATGGCGAAGAATTGGCATGAACAAGCGTTGCTTCGTTCCGATAATGTTTCACATATCTGTAGATTGATATTAACGGGACATGTAGACACAAAGACAGTGATCTTATATAAAAGATTCCTTTCTTGCCGTAGTGTAAAAGTTTAGGAACGGGTAATACTGCAGTCAATCGTTTATGAATAGCGCTTCTCCGTCGAGGCAAGGTCACGCCGGCGTTTTAAAAGTAGCACACTACGGCCCCGCCCGTATTCCTTCACGCAAATAACGCCAAGTTCAAGGATCACACAGCTCTTCAGAGTGATCAACTCTGTGCCTTCTGAATCCAGATTTACGATTATTACCTACCAGTCGCATTGCTGGACAGGATATCTATTCAGCAGCACTCCATTTGGAAGACCGACAGGATGGGTAAATATTTAAACAAACCTTCGGAAAACGGTTCATGATGATGCGAAATGGATTTCAAAAATAAGCTTTCAGATTAAATTAAAAATAAACTGCACTGCAGTACTTAGGTATCTGCAAACAATTAAATACAACAGGAAACTTACTCCAATCAACTGGAAATGCAGTGACTTCTATCCATTTCGTACATGGACTAAATGTGTAGTGGAAAAATACTAAGGACTCGAGTTAGTTATTTCCTCGTAATAATAAACTAAGGGCCTATATTTTTAAGGGGCAGGGGCTCAAGTTTAGACCATCCCGCCTTTGTTCGATATCACTAACTTTGAAAGGATTGCGAAGGGAGGCGCCTAGAACTCGAAAAAGCACCAGGGCCTGGCTAGACTACAGCCCTTACAGCAAGCTAATCTTATTAGGTAAAAGTCACTACATCATATACGAGCAGCCGGGATAGCTCAGTCAGTATAGTGACTAGAAACGGGGTTCGATCCCCGACGGGGGCAGAAGATTTTTCCTCTAGCTTTTGCGTCCAGACCGGCTCTGGGGCCCACCCAGCCTCCTCTACAATGGGTACCGGCCGGGGCGTGATGCTGACCACTCACCCCCATCTAGTGCCGAGGTCAAGGAAGGGAGGAGCTATACCTCCTCTCACCCCAAGCGCCTACATGGCGCACAGCGGGACAAAATTTACTTTACTTTTACATCATATACGAGCAGTTGTGTGACGTCGCAATATAGAACAGCATTTTGTATCTTTACAGACAGACAGACAGACACACGAGTATTCCAGTATCTGTATCGGCTGGCCACCAGCGGAAGGCTAATCATGGTGGTGTCGAGGACGGCTAACGTTCACCAGTCACCCGCGTCCATCAAAGAGGTGCAGAAAAAGAACTTAGGCATAACTCAGAAACAGCATATAGCAATTTGGATAATATGTAGAAATCAACGGCTGTCTACATGGTATATGTTCTGCACATGTCCCGTGAGGATTTCCAATGAAATTAATATGTAAGCTTAAGGAAATGCTGTTCATCTATGAAACGTCCCTATATTACGCTTCATGGGAAGTAATTCTCGAACCGGTGAACATTATGATAATGCAACTGCTGAAAACAGATCTGCAGGGTCAGGAGTGGCAGCCACAGGCCTTGGCAGTCGTCTGGCACGCGAGCCAATTCCCTCTAACTGAAACACATTTAATGCGATGCCATGGACGTTATATCACTGAGTGTTACTCCCCCGATCAGCGATAAATAGTTCGTCTCTAATTCTGACATTTCTTAGATTGCCCTGTCACGAAAACAGAAGATTGTAGGTAAATAAATTCTGCCGAAGTTGATTCGTCACATGTCTTTCGGAATTTCCTTCCTGGCTTACTTTTTAATTATTTCCTCTGTATGTCTCTTTGCTTCAACATTTATTTTCTTAAATTTGCCAATGTTCCGTAAACACTATTTCTGGGAATTGTCTCTTACAGATCAGTTAATCGCCATGTTCAGACACGCACGCAAATGAGCTCAGTCTACCGCATTCCAATTATAGCCATTATAATACTTCTTCAAAGAAACAACGTGGACAACATTACAGTTTACAGCTGGCGATATGTTCTAGTTTAAGAGTCATGACTTACAAGAGCTGCTGAGTAGTAAGAGTGAGGTGTCAATGGCCTTACGTGTTTCCATGGCAACGTAACTGCAGATAAATTATAACTCCATCGCGAACACACAGTCTCAATTTTTTTTTTGGCTGGCTATTCCGCACGTCACGAATCTTGTATTAGCACCACAAAATTTCAGACCAATTAGAATTTTGAATACGCAGACGCATATTTACATTCGCGTGTTTATTATTATTATTATTATTTATTTTGACTGCAAATGGGTTTTTACCCGGTGGCAGTGGTCCTACAATAAGACACAAAACAATAAGACACAAAAAACATAAGACACAACAAAAACAATAAGACACAACAGAACAATGAGATACAACAAAAACAATAAGACACAACAGAACAATGAGATACAACAAAAACAATAAGACACAACAGAACAATGAGATACAACAAAAACAATAAGACACAACAGAACAATGAGATACAACAAAAACAATAAGACACAACAGAACAATGAGATACAACAAAAACAATAAGACACAACAAAACAATGTGCCAGAAGACACAAAAAACAATAAGACACAACAAAACAACACACCACACTCAAAATAACCCAGATTTTTGAAATTAACAAACTGAACACAGAGCACAACAGTAATTCTTATTGACATTGCTACGCAGGCAGTATTTTACTCCTTCCGTGGGTCTATTCCACATCAGTAGTAATTTCAAGTTATTGAATCTTTTAGATAAGCATTCCTCGTCGCCTCTGCTATCACAAAGTAAGAAGAAACGCGATCAAATGTGCGTGCTTCGAGAGGGATTCGAATCTTTAGCTCCGGCTTGAGAGTAGGCCTCTGCAACTTGGTGTTATTTTCATTCAGTTACATTACGATTGTGTGAACACATCTCATTTGTATGTTCAAGCCGCTATCACCCCGAATACAATTGTAAATATGTTGGCCACATGTACGTTGCTAGGCCTATTATTGCCACGAATGAAATCGGACGTCAATAAACACCAACGCCATGTGTGTACTCGATGTTTATTTCAAGAGCCAGGCCTTTTAATAGAGTGCTCGGTTGGACTCTGTCCATGTTACTATTTATGTCAAAAAAGTCAGTTCTCAGAAGAGGGAGCGATACTTCGTTAGGAAGATAAAACTTTGAAGACTGAAACTGTCAATTTAAAAAGGTCAAAATGTGAATTGATCACTGAAATCCACAACTATTCTCCTCTTCCGCGCGGGTTAGATGACATCAGAATAACTACACCGCAGATGAAACAAGCATTCCGAAAGGAAACGGCCCACATTATTTCGAACAACATCGACACATAAATCACTTCCAAAGTAGAGAGAGAAAATATTAAGTAGTTATCAAACTGATAGTTGTTATAAACAAAGCATTAAGATAATAATAGTTTAGAAAAATACTTTTAATACGAATCTATGACATGGTACTTCCCCCACATGCCTTCTATGGTATTGAAACCTGACAGTAAATGGCAAAGACGAATCCATAGCCACAGATTTCAGGTTCTCATGGTGATGACTGTCTTCTGGGACGTTGCGCCTTGTAGTCTCATAGAAATTGACCTACGTTTCAGAGATGCTTACTGCCTCAATGCGATGATAACGATTGTCGACCTGATAATGGAGGCAGTAAATACCTTTAAAAAAACATCGCAATATACAGGCATCTTCTTAATAAAATCTGTTCGGTAGCTGCCGGGGTGAAACGTGCGATTTTATTGTGTTCTTTTTTGAGCGTTTCCTGCATGGTATCCAGAAAAGCCGCCGAACGAGCTACGAAAGAACAATTAACATGAAGTTACGTATATTTATGGCACTAATATAGGTGAACTATTATTTGAAACTTCTATTTTTTATGGTTTGTACTGAACTACTCGTATAAGGAAACAGTTATACAGATGTCAGCACAATATTTCTGTCTGAAACAGAGGAAGATGAATGAATGGACGTCTGCATTGAATACATTTTTAAATTCTGGTAAGGTGGGTTACTACTCCTTATAACCTAGTTCATTCAATTACAGTCCAGTGTGCGGTCGATGTCTCAGCTGCCGGCGCTGACAGACCCTGGTCCTCTGCGGGTCACTGTCCATTACCACAACCACCCCGCCCTGGGGTCTATCACTGGCGGAAACCGCGCGTCGACGTCTGGACTGCGACGCTATACAAGAAGCTTCACCGACAATGTATCGTCAGTATCGACGACTCCAGCCGTCGGGGTGGAGGAGGGGCGTGGAATCCGACGCGTGAGGTTCGAGTTACCACCGAAGCCACCGCCACCGTCGGTTCTGCACAGTGGCGCTGCGAGTGGCAAATCGACGCAACAGAAGCAGGTGGCGGGAGTCGAAAGTTGGCTGCGAAGTCGAGCAGGTATATCTTCGTTCTTCAGCGGTCCTTTGCCCCACGAGCGCCAGTTGAATCACGGAGTTGGTGGTGGACAGTTATTGACTGGTCCAAGTCGTGCGGTGGTCGCTACAACGGCGGTCTCTGCCCCGAGAATTCACGACACCGAAAGATACCGAAGGGGCACTCTGCCTCCAGGCGCCTCCAGCCCCGGGACCGACTGCTCCCCGGAGGCGGCCACACTTCTGAAGGCCGCGCGTGATGGGGACGAAACGGCGCTCGGTTTCATTCTGCG